TTGGCTGCAAGCCTACTGCATGTAGGCCGTCGGCCGATTGCTGCAAGCGCAGCGCCTGTGCGTGTGCCGGCGTTGTGCTACAAGCGTAGTGCTTGCACGTGCACCGACGCTGTGATGCCTGCCTACAGTTGCATGTACGCAGATTGAGTGCAGCAAGGGCAGCAACTATTGCTGCCCTTTCTCGCTTTTGCGTCAACAATTTTGACGCCAAAAGCTTCTCTAAAACACAACACACACATTTTGAAACCAATCTATCGAACGAACAACCTGGCTCTGATACCACTGTTGGAAAATCTTGGGGGTGACATCACATGCATAGTGGAAGAACAAGAAAATAAAATCCCCAATTTCCTAAAAAGATATTCATCGTCGTGCAAAGATTGGTGTGCAAAAATCTGCGAAACAAACTGTGTATAGAATATATTATATTACCTAAGGAGATCGTATATCCCTGTTTCCTTGCAGATCTCTAGGAGAGGGTGAAGGAGGTCAAGCGTCCTACTCTCTAGCGGTGATCCACACAGTAGGGCTGCGACGACACTCCTCAAAACTCTAGGCCTGCTCTGAGGTGGAGAGGGGGAGGAGAATAAGAGAGGCAAGCAAAGGCTCTAGCCTATGAACCACTGAATCCCTCTTATTTATAGAGGTCCCTTGTCAAACCCTAATGGATCCTCCCCTATTGGGTATTGGATCTGCATCCAATTACCCAAGCCTCGTAGATTAGTGGATCTTTATCCAATAATCTCTTATAGGCTTTTATTGGATCTCGCTCATGGGATCCAATAATTCAGGGGCTTATTAGATATCCAATAAGATAGGGGCTCCGGCGGATATCTCATATATGAACCTCTACTCATCGCAATGCCTACCATATATGTGTGACCCTCTAGGCCTAACATCGAGCTGGCCGTGAGTCATACTTGTTAGAACTCCTTCTGGCTTAGTAAATTATTATCTCCAGAATAATTCACTCGACTCATCGACTGCGGACGTACTAGGCCACTACGTCACAATCCCCATATGATATAGGGGAATCCAATCCATTGGACCTGTCTATCCTCAGTTACCGTATACCTGTAGTCCCTCATCCATCTAATATCCCAGAGACCTTATACCGGGTATGGTGCTGTCAGACCCATACGATTTCTACTCGAGTCTCGCTCTAATCGAATTCTCCCGGAGAACTCTTTCTCTCTCAATCCGAATGACCCTAGCCAGGGATTTGTCTAAGCAAAAAAAACACCGAGATATTCCTCTCATGACACCGAGAGCGGATGATCCTCTATCGACACTCAATAGCCCTCGTAAGGTCGACTGCCACTCCCAATGACTAGCTGTACTAGATATAGGACATGCAAACATATAAGTCTGGTATCAAAGAATGGAGCACTCAATCAGGACATCCTTGGTGTCTCAAGTCTAAGGACCAGATACACCACTGAGACTACAAAATCACTGTCTAACAATAAGGTATCATCAACCATCTAGCATTCCATAAGCAGATCAATTAGTGAACTCATTCTCCAATGAGCACCTGTACTGTATTCCTAGTGTCCCCATATAAGCAGTTATGAGACCAGCTGCATCCATCATATGGATGGGTATACAGAACACCAGTCTATCCGGTTATCTCGATGCCCCCCTCAAGTAACCTATGATCGGGATTATTTAAGATCTGCATTTAAAGGTGAATCGGTCTAATTATCGTGCATATATGTAATAGTCAATATAAAGTGATAAATGTCAAAATATAATAAGCAAAAAGATTCTGTATTAAGTCACACGTGCCATCACTCACGTGATTGGCTTACTCGGCACCTATGATTAGCATATTCCTCTCATGATACCGAGAGCAGATGATCCTCTATCGACACTCAATAGCACTCGTAAGGTTAGCTGCCACTCCCAATAATCGGTTGTACTAGATTTGGAACTTCCAAACCTATAAGTCTGGTATCAAAGAGTAGAGTACTCATGCAAGACATCCTTAGTGTCTCAAATCTAAGGACCAGATACATTACTAGGACTATGAAATCGTTGTATGAGAATAAGGCATCATCAACTATCCAATATTCTATGAGTGAATCAATCAGAGAACTCATTCTCCAATGAGCACCTGCACTGTATCTTTAGTGTCCCCACACGAGCAACTATGAGACCAACTGCCTCCATCATATGGACTAGTATACAGCATACTAGTATGTCCAGTTATCTCGATGTCCCTTTCGAGTAACATATGACCAGGATTATTTAGGGTCTATGTTTAAAGGTGAATCGATCTTATTATCATAATCTCATCACGATTCGATTCCCATTGCACAGACCTAAGGACATCACAATATATATGTGTTTATGCAATAATTAATATAAAATATTAAAATATAATAAGTAAAAATATTGTGTGTCAAGTCACACGTGTCATCACTCACGTGATTGGCTTGGAGGGCACCTATGACTAGTAACGTCACCCCTAGATTTTCCTACAACCAGCCGCCTCCATCATATGGACGAGTATATAACGCATCGGTCTATCCGATTATCTCAATGTCATTCTCGAGTAACATATGACCGGGATGATTTCGAATATGTGTTTAAAGGTGAATCAATCTCATTATCGTGATCTCATCTGATTCTTATTGCATAGATATAAGGACATCATAATATACATCCAGATAATATATGATAAAATGCTAGTAATAATAAGCAAAGAGATCGTCACAACGTGTTACATATGTCATCATTCATGTGATTGGCTTGTAGGGCACCTATAACAAACACTACATAAGACCATCTGGGTCCAGAAGGCGACGATGTGCTCCACTAGGTTGGAGCCACCATTATAGGCCTCCAACATTGGGAGGCAGAAGTTGAGGGAGATAGGTTTGTCCTGGATTTCTTCAATAAAGGGGGACCCTATCGAGGTGTTTTTCCCGAGTTCTTCCTTAGACTTGTGGAATTCTCTTTGGACCTCATCCAGGCACCGATTTGCCAACTACAACTGGGCCCGAAATGAGTCATCCGTCGAGTTGGACTATAGAGTGTCAAGCTCCGGGAAGGTCGAGGTAGTGTATCTGGGCATGGGGGCATCATACTATGCGGTTGGCCTCGGGTCTTCAAGCTACTCCTCGATCGATGGGTGAACATTCGAAGCCAAGGGGGGCTGGTCGACCAAGATGGCATCATGAGGTGTAGGGGTGAGTGCAAGCTAGATCACAAGTGACTGCTACAAGGGAGGAGCCACCTATTGAGCTAGCTGGGGTATAAGGGGTGTGATGGTCTGCATTATACCCACCAATACCCTGCACCTGGTAGGTGAGGTTGAGGAACGCCACGGCAAGGACGACTAGCTACCTACTTCAACCCTAAGGGACGAGAGCCCGAGGTCATTGAACAAGTGCCAATAGCAACCCAGGGTCTGAGCTAAGGCGCTCCCATTCATGTGCGGGAGAGTAGGCAACTGCGCCACGAGTTCAAAGATGGAGTTGGTGGCGGGCACCTCCTCGCTAGGGTGCTCGCTGGGATTATTCATTGGTGGATACTCTTACGATATCGGGCCCTCCTAGTGCCAAAAATATTGGTGTCTTCATGCTGTGTTCCAGGAGCCGATACGGCTCGGTTCGGTTCCGATCGTGTGAGGGCATCCACGTGGATGTCTAAGGTGGTGATGGAAGGATAAGGTCGGGTTGGGGTTGACGCCTCCTAGACTAACCCGATGTAAGATTTGAGCTCTAGCTTCAATGTTACTTTCCTACACAAAAGGTCAATGTCGGGAGGGGGATCCCTAACTCGACCCCTCTAAAGCTCAAGTTAGATCGAGGTGAGTTTAAGGGTGTTTTTGGTCCTCCCTATCACTGACCAAGGGATCATTATTTATACCTATCATCGAGCGTTGATCATACGTAGGTCGTTGATGATCGTCGATACTCCGGGCGACTAGCTCGTGCACTTCACACGTGTAGATCGACCCACATGGCTCTGTGTCGTGTGACACCGTCTTGTACGACCTCGGGCAACGGAGGCACCATCGCATATTATCATCGAGCCTATCACATCATATCGAGCTCGTACCACATGCGTGCACCTCGTCAGTTCCAAAATGTTACATCAACTTTGAGGTGACTATCTACTATTATTGAGTGGACGGTATTAGAATATTCTCAATTAGATCTTTTCCCCATTGTTGGCTGGCTTAAAAAGTGAAGATAATGATGCCCGATAGGCGTAGCTGTTTGACGCGGAAGATTAGAAATGAGGAAAACCCGCACATGCCCTCACGTGCGCTCTCAGGTGCGTATCTGATCTCTGCAACGCGTCCTACTCCCGGCTATTCCCATTCCCAGAGGAAGAACCGACTACAAGGCTTACGCGGTTGGGATTTTTAATCGCCATCCATAATAAACAACCAAACCAAAGTGTCAAGCACGGTCGAGGATATTAAACGTGTCTATATGATGGTCGTTATCTGATAAACGCAATTACTAAGCATGCGTACTTTCTACTACCAATCCCGTGAGGTTAATCTTATGAACTCGTTCGCACCGAAGCTTCTTTAGGATTCGGTATATTACATACGCTACATAGATTGTGAATTCTTGCGCCCGATGCAGCACAAAAACACATCGTCATCAGTACTCGACCGCCCACCCACGCGGTTAAATTGGAAAAAAAAAAAAATTCTAAAGCCAGCCCACCACACTCAGTCCACACCACGGCGGTGCACCGCACGCTCCCTCTGCAGTACCCATCAGTGGCGATGTTACTGACATGGATCCATCGTGACACAACACTTATCCACAGACAACACCACCACCACCACCACCACCAGACCGTGGAGCCCCTTTCTATCATGTGCCAATGCAAGTGGTGTTAGCGACACTTAACATCACCATGAAAGCATGCCCTCCACTTGTTATATTCCCTCCACCACCCTTGTTTACTTTTGATAGTGTCCATTCGAAAGTGATAACGACGATTCGAGGAAGGCGAAGAATCAAGGCAAATTGTCAACATAGATCATCGAAGAATTCCAATCCCCAAATACCAAAGAACACAAATATTAAGATCCAAGAAGGCCATCGGAACTGACAAATCAAATAGAGGGAGGTTTACAAAGGGGGAAAAAAATACTGTACTCCACTAGAGAGAGAAGGGGGGCAAAAAATCAATATAGATACCTTCCTTCTAATCTAATTTATTTTCCTTGCTTTTAACCTGGATAGCCAGTAATTGTTTCTAGATCGTCCAGTTCCAGATCTTGATTCGAAGTTTCACCTTGCATTTGGCCGACCCGGTGGTTGTGGCGGTGGCGTTGCCCTTGGCGACCACCGCCTCAATCCCGTCGCACGAAGCGCGGATGCCGAGGTGCTTCGACTTGAACCCTCCGATCTTGACCCCGGCCCTGGTGTCGAGCTCGATCTCCAAGGGGTACCGTTTCCTCTTTCTCAGATCCGACGCCTCCGTCGGGTCCAGGCTCCGCCCTGAGCTCGACACGGTGGTTTTGAGCACCGTGGTATTGTCGGTGCCCTGTGCGAAGCCCGGGATCGTCCCCTCACCTATCGTGACCCCGCCGGAGGAGGCGGAGATAGCGACGTCGTCGTAGACGAAGACGAGCTTCCTGTTGGGGTTGCGGGCGGTGACGGAGAGATCGAGGCGGGAGGTGAGGAGGTCGGCGGCGGAGAGGTTGAGGGCGGCAAGACGGAGCGAGGAGACGGAGAAGGTGGGGTGCTGGGGGCGGTAAAGGACGTAGAGGACGCCGGCGGCGATGGCAGCGAGGAAGACGAGGGCGATGAGAAAGAGGGTGAGCCAGAGGCAGCAGATGCAGCAGCATCCCCGGCGGCGGCGGCGG